CGAGACGCACGAACGCGAGCCGGGGTCTGCAGTGCGAAGGAACCGTAATCACAACCATGCTGTAGATGGAATTCGAGGTGCTAATGCCGCCTGTCCTATCTTCCGTCCGTCTCGAAGGCCGATGACTATTTGACTTCCATCCCAGGGCTAAGAAGGTGTGATGGTCCATGGAGGGGGGGATAGGAAGAGCCCACACAGCATTGGCCAACCGCCGCTCCCACCTCGATCTTTGGCCACTGCCCAACCCCATTCGCCGTGTGACGGTGATGCAGGCATCGCGCGCGTCTCGCTGCTTTAAGCACCCTTCAATCAGCTGGGTAGCTGTAGCTGTGGCCCCCCCTCAACCTCGCCTGCACAGCTATCTGCAGGTTGTAACGGTGACTCGGCACATGCTTGTTTCTGCCGGGACTGGCCCCCAGCATCGAACCACGGACTCTGTGGCCCACGTGGAGCATTGGTCCGTGTGGGCGTGGGCTTATGTGGAAGTGGGTGTGAATTCGTAAGGAGGGTATGGTTATTCCGGTGCTATCTAGGTACGGGGTCTGGTCGCGGCAGCACGCCACGCACACAGCAAGGCACAGTGGTTCGGAGGGAGATGGATGCGTATGAATCTCGCCCTCTGGCAGAGAGCTATTGCTGAGGTACGCAGTGGAAAAGTGAGCGGACGAGCAAGGCAGAATGTCGCAATCCAGTGTACATGGAAGGATTCCCCTGTAGTTGCGTGATGCTTCGAGAACCGTTCCAGCCCGAGTGAAAACCAAGCATGCAAGGCCCAAGTAGCGCAAGCATGCGCATTGGGGGAACAAAGCCAAGACTGCCGGTCTACGGATGGGCAAAGCTGACTATATAAATGCCGTTCTTGTGCAGGCAAGTCAGAAGAAGATTCCCCATTTATATGACAATTATCCAGCTGAAGCCTCACACGAAGAGGAGGGGCGGCATGCCGTGTGTTTGCTGGTATGCTGCCACTGAAAGTGACAGACGTCAGCAGTCGACCAACGAGCAGACGGACTGGCTCGAGACGAAGCACAGCGAACAGACATTGAGGCCAGGCGTCCGTTTGACCTGACCTCGTCTGGTGTTTTCCGGTCGAGCCTTGTCTGGCCTGAGCAGCATCTCAGCGGCCGGCGGTCGGAGGGTCGGAGACTGCGCAGGCGGCCCCACGTAGACGCCAAGCCAGCGCGCTCACCCAGGCTCATGGACCCCATGAACATTGTCAGACGGGGGATTTGAGTGCTCTGGTTTGTTTCTCCACGGTGCTCAGTCGTCCAAAGGAATCTCTCTGCTTGCTCCTCCCAGTGCCTCCACTTCTCGGGACGGGAAATAAAGCGGTAAAAACTCGAGCCGGCCAGGAGTCCCTACCGATGAAGGACGAGGGGAGTAGCTGAGAGGGCGCGCGCTGAAGGGCTGGAAGTTAGGCTTGGTAGTTGCCAACGACGATTGAGTGCGTCTGCGGCCGCTGACCACCCTCCTTTTCAAAATCCAACGGTCGTTGCTTCCCTTCAACTCGCCTCGAACCCCCGCAGTCCGCGGTGGCTTGAGATCTCGTTGATGTAGTACCGCTGTAGCCATCATTGGAACAAACAGCCGTCGGACTTCAGGCGTGGGAATTGCACGGAGGGTACAGAGAGTTATGAGAAGAGCTACCAAGTAACATCCTAACCAGCCAAGCAAGTGGCTAATGTAACGAGGTAGGGGAGAAGCTGGGATGAGCCGGGGGTGTGGGATGCCAGATGACAGGGTCTGGAGGCGTGTGTGAATACCGCGTACAGTAAGGATACCTGCCCTGTGGACCATGCATGACCTGTGCGAGTTGGAGGGTGGTACGGTCCAAAAATGGGGGCCTATGGTAATATGACGGGCGAGGTAGGGCCGAAGCGAGAGGGCATGGGGGTAGCTGATAAGAGGCGGAAGGCGTACAGGGCCTGCGTGTTGTCCGAGTTCCAAGAGCCTGGCGGCTCGCGTCGCCTCGAAGACAGCTCGTCGGTCGCGTCATAAGCCGACAGATACTCATCATGAGCCGGCTCAGGCAAGTTTTGTAGTAGGCTGGAGACCGAGATCGTCGTATGTGAGAGGGGTGAAAAAGACTCTGGAAACAGCGAGTGGAGGAAAACAAGAGATGAGCCGACTGAGAGACTGGGCCAAGAAACAGACGGCGACGCAGAACGATGCAAGGCGAGGCAAGGCAAGCCTTAGGCCCGGTTGAATGATTTGTCTGCGGGTGCGAGGATCGGACGCGCAGACACGGAGTACGACGACTGTACATTGAGAACCTTGGATAAACGTCGGTCGGATGGCGGCCGAGCTCCCCACAGGACGCCGCAAATGTTTGAGAGGATTTGAGGGATTGAATGTACTCTGGATGTAGAAAGAGAGACGGGCAGAGGATTGAGGGGCGGTCACTAGAATCGAGAGAAGTTGAGTGGTTCATCAGCTCCATGCCCTGGCTGCTCGAGAAGGTAACGGTAACGATGCCGGCAGGCATTTGAAGCGGCAAACTTACCAACACTTGCCTCTGTCGACAGTTACATCCGCAACGGCCCCGGTATTCGAACCCAGTTGCCAACCAGCACCGCGCCTCAAACTTGGGACCGATGAGCCCCTCTTGCCGGGAATATCGAAATGGGGTTGCTTGCTTGCGCCAGTGGCTCGCGGGAGAGGTGCATGCTCAAGGGTTTCCCGTGGCAAAATAAACAATCGTGAGCCGGTAATGCTTATGTATTTGCATTCGGGGATGAAGATGGAAGGTGAAAAGCGAAAGAAGAGAAGTAGCGGCTGCAGGCATGTCTGGCTTCTTTTTGTTTAGTATACGCAGCTTAGCTAGCTGCGTGCCTGCTTTGCCTGCACCTTGGCTCAGCTAGGTTGAGGCGAAGTACCGTGGTATTCGTAGTTGCCATGGGTGGGAGTAGCTTGGTTGGACAGACCAACACACCGACCAACCGGCAAAGAGCAGACTTGCAGCCAAGACACTGTGCGGATTATATAGCCCGCTCTGTGGGGATGAACCATGACGGAAGACGCAGGTCGCGAACAAGGCGCGCGATATTGCGAGACCCTCAACGGAGCTAAGGCCGTGAAGCGACGGCCGATGACTGGTAGAAAGCAGACAGGTCCGGAGGGCAGAATGACCAGACCAAGGGGGGAAAGGAAAAAAACAAAACAAAAGACATGGTGCCAGCGTCCCCCAAAACAGATGAACCCGGTACCCTTTTCTTGCATACCTAAGGTATAAGTATGGACCTTAGCGGGTGTATTCGTATTGCGTAAGTAGGTTCTGAAGTTACTGACACGGAAGTGAGAACGGACAGAGCCACTTTATTACGCAGTAAGGTATCCGTACTGACTGACTGAAGGAAGGAACAGAGGCATGGAGGTCAGGTAGGTAGGTAGGTACCTACGTATTGTGTCCGTCCGGACCTTCCCTCCCTCCTCCCTCGCAGCCCGTCTGGTCTGCGTCCTCTCAGTCTCTGCACCTGCCCAGATCCTGGCCGGACCTGTCGCCGCTCCAGGAACCTCATCCATCCATGCCCTTCCTTACCTACGTATCTAAGGTACCTTACCTTCCCATCCGCCTCAGCAGCTCAGGCTCATGCTCAGGCTCAGGCTCAGGCTCAAGCTGTTTAGTAGGGGACCTTGTCTTTCCACCATCCCGTCCCCCTCAACCTTCATCCCGGCCTCAATCCACGTCCCAATCCCAATCCTAATCCCGGTCCCAGTCCCCGTCCGTCCCTCTTCCACACATTCCACCCACTGCATGCCATGCCATGCCATGCAATGCCTTGCCATGTTACTTGCTACATGCTGCCTACGACTTTACCAACAGGCCATCGCCATTGTCCACTAGCAAGTACGAAGCTCGCTGTCGTCTATCTAATCATCGCCGTTAGCCACGCGCCCCACTTCCCCAAATCAACCCTGCCCATTATTAATAAAAGAGCTATCACCCCAATGAGGGAGGAGCCCAGCAGAGTGTTCATCGGGTGCGGTGCGGTCCTGCTATTCAATGCAACCACGGCGAACCACCACATCGCTGGAGCGAATTTCGGGTCTTATTTAATTTCACAAAATTTCTTCTTCCTCTCTTCCTGTCATGACTTGACTGTGCTGCATCCAACCTTCGTCTTGATGATAGAAAGCGTCCCGATAACAGAGAGCACTGTGGAGGACAAAGCTTGAATCGGAAACAAGACCGGAGACCGCATATCATTCGTACCTTGCCTTGCCTTGCCTTACCCTACCTCACTCGCCAACGCCGACGCACTTTCTCAACTGACGATTGAACACCGGGAACTAGGGGACCTGGAAACCGGGCCTGGTCCGATTCGGTTCCGACCCCCTTGCCCTACCCAGCAAGCGCCGGTATTATTGCTGTGTGGTTTCGTTTTCGACCCCTCCAGCATCCATACCTACACACTTCACCTCACTTCCCTTAACCCTGAGCAACAACCCCCGGCGAGAGGGAGGCAAATTCTGGACTGGACAGACCCAAAAGGCAAATCATTCATCTGCCCGAGAAAGGGATCTGCGCGTACTGGGAACAAGCAAGCAAGAATTTCGAGCCGCGGGCGTGGTGGGCTTTATGGACAAGCCATGAACCCGACCATCTGCTGTTCTGGCCATTTTGACCTCGTACAAAGTCAACAACAGCAGCAGCAACACCAACAGCCACAGCCACAGCAGCAAAGACACCACGACCTTCGACCAGCTCGCAGCCGCAAGCCTCCCCGACTTAGGACGCAAATCCTGTTCGCAGTGCCTGCACATCCAGCAACGGCTGAAGCGAGACCATGAAATCTGTGTCCAAAGCTGCCAGTTGATGCAATCACGCAAAGCGCGGCGACGTGTAATCCAGCCATTTCTTCCGACGCCAGCGAGACTGAGAGTTTCTTGCACTGCTGTAATTTCTAACTGCCAGTCAGCCCTGTCCTGCCTTGACATCGAGCACTTACGTAGTGTCTTCGTCGTCGGCTGGAGGAGGACGCCTTCGAGGCCCGGGAGGAATGGCGGCCGATCCTCACAATCTCCCCGACCCGGCCGTCGATACTGCCATCCGGCAGCTTCTTGATCAGCAAGCAGAGATTCAAGCAAGACTTGCCGCCTTGTTGCCCGCCAAGTATGGCCCAAATGTCAGGCTGGAGCTTGACATGCTCCGCCATAAGCTACGCGTGTTGCAGACATACTCCGATCATCACCGTAAGTTCCATTCCCCAAGCCTTTATGGACCTGAACGGACCGAATATTAAACAAATTTCATTAGAAATTTCGAGCAGTATACCAGTCGTCTCCGAGTTGGAAGAGGCAAGATCTTTGCAGTATCGATGCGAATGCATTGAGACTGCTTGCTTGGAGCAGGGTAGGTGTCTGCTTGAGTGCATCCCCTAAGTACCCTTTTCTGTCAAATGCCTAATTTTTTTCGCAGGCCACGATCTCTCAGACCCAAGTATGATGGAGGCGCTCAGGCGGTCGCTGTACGATGAGGCACCCGCAGGCTATGCGGCCTGGTTCGATCGCAATCTGGCAAATTATGACCCAGTCGTTCGCGGTTGGAGGATGAGGGATAGTTTGTCACCATCATCGCGAGCTCCGTCTTACAAATGCTGGGATGAGCGCTGCATACATTACATATACGGCTTCTACAACAAAGAGGATCGAGATGCCCACGCGCGAGAACACAACATTCATGTCCATAGGGACTCAGGCATGTCTGTTGGCAACACCCCGCCCATTCCTTTTCCCGAATACTCGACGACGAGACCTTGGGGACCCGAGGCTAGCAAACAACTACTCCCTTTACAACTGCCAAATCCCTCAAGCGGTGCACAACTAACATCCCTGACGACTGCGGGTCAGCCGAGAGACCGTCGCGATACCTTACAGTCCTACTCGCTTATCAGCGATCCCTCAGGGCCTGGAAGAGGTTCTGTGGATTCCGAAGTCGACCCTTTACTTCCACCTCTGAAGCGCAGCAGGGTGGGACAATCTCGGTTGCAGTCCATTGGTGAGCTCAGGCTACTCCAGGACTCCGGGCCTTGTTTGCGCTGCATGGTGACGAAAGAGCCAGTAAGAACACGAGGCCCTGGAGACGCCGGGTGGAAGTTTACTGACGGTTGACAGTGCGATTCCAGTGAGCCTTGCTACTATTGTACCGATCAACCAATGAGTCCGAGCAGCGAGTTTTGGCGAGTTATTGGCTGTCATCGTGGGCCATTGGAGGCCTTTTCCGACATAATGCTTTCAGGTCAGTTGTTTGCATGCCAAAATCCTGCAGCTGAACTTAACGCCCCGTAGCTCCCGTGTCACCCAGGCAAACCCAAACTCCGATAACGTCTCCACTTGCGCAGAGGAGGAGCATGAACGAACACCTCGAAAATAGCTATCGAATACCTCCTGACATACTCCACGCCGTAAAAGCAAATCTGGACTTCGACGACGGCTTTTGGTGGACAGAAGAGCTTGCCAGTCTACCACTGACAAATCCTACCCTTTCCAACTACTCTCGAGAAGCAATTGAGCGTCCACCGCCGATCTTGAGCGTTCTGACGGCAAGCTGGAATGGAGGTGGAACATCGTACAACTTTCTCCACCTCCTTAAAACCAGCGGCTTGATTGCAGCGACAAGAGAGATGGAAGAGGCAGCGTTCCCGGTTTTGTACCGAGCAAAACTCCTGTTGCGGGAAGTCATTTTCTGGGATCTCCAGCAACCCGAACCATCCATCCGTATAGAAGGCGGGCCGCCTCATCGAGCTTTGTTTGCGGACGAGATCGACCACGACGCACACTATCGCTTGCTCTACAACTGTATGGCACAGTTCCTCCAAGCGTTCGAAGGTGTAACGATGAGGAAAGGCCCTCAAGACGCAAAGACGTGGCTCGCAACTTTCATATCTCTATGTATATTCAGCGTTGTACGAACGATCTTCATTGACATGACGTCCTTTCTGCCTAGGCGTCTTGCAGTGCAAACGCCAACTACGTGGAGAGGAAGTTCCGGCGCACAAGCAATGCACAGTGTCTACAAGCTTCTAGTTACCATCTTTGTCGGCTCGGGGCCGATGCTTTTGGACGAGCAATCTTACAGCATGGATGAGCGCGACAGAATGGTGGTGGAGGCCCTGTTGATGGTTGTACGCAAAGATCTGTGGGCGCAGCACGGATTTTCGTCTTCCGCGGATTTCTTGATGCACCTTGGAGACGGCGATACGGTAGGCACGGCCGTCTTTAATGGATTTCTCAGGCAAAGGATTCCTGCAAGAGCCAGTTCTCTTGTACTGCCGCCAATGGTTAAGCCCGGAGACGAACCAAGGCGACCGATGCACGATCCCCGAGCGCTAGGCGACCCCTGGATCCCGAACCCGGCCCCACTCCCGGAAAGAGACTTATTTGCCGGAGGAGGGCTGGATTACATGACATCTCCACAGGCAATGGACCCTTTGGGCCGTCGACATACAGTTGGGGAGAGCCCAACATTTCCTCGTGGACCCATGAGGCCCTTGGAGTCACCAGTCGCAGGCGGAAGAGGACGTCCAACATATCAACGACCGCCACTGCGTCGAGTCTATTGCATCAAATGTAACGAGTACCCGGAGGGATTCCGCGGTGAGCATGAGCTACGAAGACACACCGACGCGAAGCATGCTGCCCTGGTAAAGCGCTGGGTGTGTACCGAGCCAGACAGTTACAGCTCGGCTTTGCCTCAGCCAGTGGTTCCTTTGTCGAAGTGTAAGGCTTGCGTCACGCAAAAGCGTTACGGCGCTTATTATAACGCGGCAGCGCATCTTCGCAGAGCTCATTTCAATCCGCACAGAGGTGGAAAGGCCAGCGGTGACTGGCCGCCTATGACCATTTTGAAGGACTGGATGCGAGAAGTGCGGCAATCCGTCGACATCCAAGACAACGACGAGTCCAGTGGAGGTGAAGAGGGGGACTACAAACCGCCGCCGGAATACTTTACACAGGCGCCGCCCCCGCCCCCGCCAATCCGCTCCCCGAACTTTGGCCCTGCTATGATAGCAGCAGCTCCGCCGTCTGTTCCGATGCTGATCGCACCGGCAGAGCCCATGGTATCCTCGCAACTGAGTAGTCCTTCAACAAAGACTCTCGACAATCGAACGCGATGTCCTCATCCTGATTGTGGAAGAGTGTTCAAGGATCTAGCAGCACATATGCTTACTCATCAGGAGGAGCGGCCGGAGAAATGTCCGATAGAGACTTGCGAATATCATATCAAGGGCTTCGCCCGGAAGTATGACAAGAATCGGCATGCCCTAACACACTATAAGGGCACCATGATATGCCCCTTTTGTCCCGGAGTGGGTACTGCGTACGAGAAAGCGTTCAACCGAGCCGACGTGTTCAAACGACACTTGACATCCGTCCATAACGTGGAACAGACACCACCCAACAGTCGGAAACTAATCATTAGTGGATCCGGCAATGTTCGCGGCGATGGCGCTCAATGTTCCATCTGCCAAGGCTTCTTCGGCACAGCCCAGGAATTTTATGAGCATTTGGATGATTGCGTTCTTAACGTTATTGTACCCTCGTCGGCCAAGACACCCCGAGACTCGTCGCTGCTTCCCTCAACATCGTCTGGCATGGAGGACAGAGAGAGGATGGGCGACAGCGATACCATAAACGTAAAACCAATGTCGCCTCCTGGCGAGAAGATGGATATCAACCCATAGCGCCGGTTGGGATTTGGGTAGATCAGTTGATTTTATTCATGTGTCGTGTAAAGGCTGGGATCGTTGTTTCCCAAATACCCCTAGTTTTTGCAGTACTTTTGGATTTAGCGTAACATCTAATGATACGATACCAAAGGGCCAAAACGGCCTGAAGAATTGAAAACCCATTTTTACCGTTTCTCAAGAGGTCTGTCGATGAGTGAGTGATTCGCAGCGCACACAAAAGCCTGCCGAGCCATTGGTATTCGGTTATAGCCATCTTGTTCAAAATTGCACATAAATCACACAGAAAGCGCGTGCAAGTTGGTGTCATTGAACATCATTCATTTGCATGCGCTGGCTTTGCGCCGACCCCATCTTTACTGAGAAAGCAGCCGGTTCCCGGCACATGATTTCATGCATTACACCCATATCATCCGTATGTACGCACATCTCCAAACTAACGTTAATCCGTCTCTTCGTGTCTCGTTGATTCCACTTCGGTCCTCCCCGCCCCCCTTGCACATAAGAAATAAGGAAAAGAGTGAGTAAAGAACAAACATGTTCTTTGCGTAGACTCGACAGCGGTGACCCCGAGCCCCAAACAATCATGCTGCAATGCCGACAGAAATGAGCCCCGTGCCGGATTTAGGCTTCCTCGCGTACCCGCTCAACATCCTCCACCCGGCACCGCAGCTTCTGCCCTCTTCGACAATGGCTGCGACGCCCTCAACACTCTTGCCGGCCTCTCTCATTGCTGCGCCCTCCGTCACCATGTCGGCAAGCCGCAGCTCACCGCTGACCTTTTCCATCTCGCAGCGCAGCAGCCAGCGCTCCCAGCTCCAACCGCCAACAATGCCCGTCACGTTGGCAATTCCGTCGGTGCTGCCTGTAACCATGGCTTCCATCGTCACCGTCCGCACCTCCTGGCCCGTCGGGCTATCCCGGGCGGGCAGCGAAGGAAGGGGCTTTCCCTGCTGCTGTGAAGGGCGACGCGCGCCTACGGGCAGGCACATCCACGCCCGGCGGACCTCGTCGAAGCCTGCGCGTGAGAGCCGCCCGAGAAACATTTTGGTAGGGTTGGGATCGTAGCCCAACGTTTTGAGGTCGAAGCCAAACTCGACGCTCTTAGCCAAGCCCAGAGGGCCGGCATTCATAATGTCCGAGTCGAGGACAGAAAACTCAAGATAGCCACCTGGCTTGAGGACACGCAGGCACTCCTTCAGGCACGTCTCCCATTCGTCTTCACCATTCTCGCCAACGAACTTGAGGATGCTGTGCAACTCACGCGCCGAGATGAGGTCGAATTGGTCGTCTTTGAAGGGGAGGCGAGTAAGCCTCTCGACGGCCACTTGGCGGTGATTGGGGGGGCCTCGGACGTTGGAGTTGGAAAGCTGGCGGATTGTCTTTGTTGTGACAGTGTAAATTTTGGTGTTGGGATATTGCAGCGCGCAGTGCCATGCCCAGTCACACGTAGACTGTCCCCCAAGATCGAGAATTCGAGCTCTGTCGCGGGCAACACCATCACGACCAGGCGCCATGCGCGAGACGCGAGCGAGACGCTTAGCAACAGGAGCTGAGATCAGCTTCCCACCGTTCAACATTCTGATGGCGGCAACATGCCATGCAGAGATGGCCATCTGGGACATGGCTTCGTGTTCCTTTTCACGCTTGATCTTTTCGGGGTCATCAATGAGAATGTCATCGCCACGGGCGACGTTGGCACTGAGACGTTTCTTGGCTGACTGGGGGACGACACTGAGTTGGTACTTGCCCAGAAGTTGATTGCGGTGAAACTCCCGGAGGCAGACACGCTGAGCCTGCAGTGCTTCAAAGCGTGGAAGTTGGTGGACGAAGACGTCTTGTCTGCTGGAGCGGATGACGTAGTCCTGGAAAGCACGGTAGTACGCGGACTCCTGCCTCAGAAGCTTGGATGGCAGACGGCAGGGGATGTTGGTCTTGGCCACAAACTCGGAAAAGCGAACAGTTTTCTTCATAGGAAGAGTGACGGTTTCTGGTTCTGGCAGGTTCTCGGCGTCTTCGTCCACAACCTCAGGTATGGTATCGAGGTTTGTGTTGTTGTCTTCCCCATCGCTTTCCACTTCGACTGGCTTTAGGTATGCGCGCTGAGCCATGAGCCACATCTCAGTCCGGTCGAGATTGGAGAGAGCAACCTCTTGCTGCTTGCGGGCGTACTCCGGGTCATAGACGGTGACAATCTCAGTTGGCGCATCATCAAGCTCCGGCGAAGCTGGCTCGGCCAATGTGTTCGACGTAGTTGAGAAGATCGTCGGGACGATTGGCTTAGCGGTGGGCATGTCGTCTTCGTCAGGGACCTCGTTCCTGACCTCCACAACCTGCTCAACAATCAGATTGGGCGAGGGCAGAGAGTTGCGGTAGAACTGCTCGACAGACTCATCGCTCTCATTGGCGATGAGCCTGGGCTGTGCAATCGGCAGAGGGGGGATGGAGGCGTTCATGTTCCATGGGCAGCGGTAGAACTGCTCTGCCGTGGTGGATGTGGGAGGCATCATCTCCTCAGGCGATCTGGAAGGCATGTGCCAGGTAGTTCTGGTTCGTGGAGAAAGACCGGAAAAAAAGCCCCCTGGAGAGGGAATGTCGAGCTTGGTGAGATCGGCGAGAGACCGGCGATGGGTGCTGGGTGAGAGCGCAGCCACGCGTTGTGGCCGCGGGCGGAGATTCGTAACGATTCTCAGAGGCTGTTGGCGCATTTCGGATACTGGTTCTTGTGGGAGCTCAATCACTTGTTCGGTGTGCTCACCCTCGTGCTCATGCAAGCTATCGTTATCCCCAGAAAGGGCATGTAGTGTCGCCAGGGCTCCAGGTTGAAGTCGAACGCCAGACCAATCTTCCTCATTCTTGTCTCCACCTTCACTGCCGATGACAGGAGTCGGAGGCGCCGACATGTGTGCTAGTTGTTCAGAGCTCAGACTTCCATCTAGTGACGGCGGTGCAGAGATGGTGGGGACCTCTTGCGACTGCTGAGCCTGCATGAAAGACACCACGGCAGGAGACATCTCGACTCGGGTCGGCGGCGTGGGCGGCACTGGGGATGCGAGAGCTTTCTTGAGGCCCGCAGACCAATCTTCGGTGGATGCATTTCGACCGGCAGGAATGACGAGAGGAGGTAAAGCCCTGCGAACCCCGCCTGCGGACTGCCTCGGGACCTCGTTGCGGATCGAATTGCGTCTCCTAATTGACGACTTACGCGAGGGCATTCTTCGAAGCGCGGGTTGCATATCTTCATCACTGACATCATATAGATCGTCGAACTCTGTGACGTCCGTCATGACGCTTGCTCGGTTGTTCCAGGGGTTCGAGTTTGTAGATGGAGAGCTTCCCTCGTCGTTTGAGGTCGTTGACGGCGAGGACGGCAAGATGGGTGCAGAGAGAAAGTGGAAGCCTCGTGGAGTGGGAAAGTGATCACTCAGCGGTGACAGCCAGGCTTCAATATTGAGCTTTGAGGCCGGATCTCGAAGTCCCCTGTTGTCGGTGGCATACTGACGAACCTCAGTCTCCTCGGTCTCCTCCTCCATTATAGTATTAAGCGACCTCCCTGCCCTTCGAGCCTGCGAAGGTGAAGGAGGTCTATATGTTGATGGTTGTAACTGACCGCTTTCAGCCATCTTCCCTTATGCAGTCAGATATCCTGATATAGACTTGCGGGTCGATGTACTGCAACGGTATAAATATAGGCAAAATGCGACGTTCGGTAATACCAGACAATCGTTTGACGACCTGCGCCGCTTTGGAAATGAAGAGAGAACAACGAAAATAACGACAGGCCGCTTCAGTCAATGAAGCTCTTAAGTTTGTGACAACAATGGGGCGGTGGTGAAAGTAATGAGAGAAGGGGAGGAAAGGATAGGAGGCCCCACGGTTGGCCATCGCCGAGTGATATAGTCTCGTTAAAGACCTTGCTCTTCACTGCTGGAGGCGGCTAATGAAGATGGTGTCCGCACGAGTGGGCTGCGAAGCACGCTGCCTTGGCTTCCACGCACACGCGCATGATGGGGCAGTGGCATGGCCAAATGCGACCACAACGGAGGGACAGCGCAGCATTTTCGAAGCAATGCGTTTACTGCGTAGCATCGCATGCAGCACACCTGCTAGAAGAGGCTGCAGTGACCCGAAATGGACGTGTTGCCGGCGCATGGGAGGGCGAGAAGGCGGTGATGGGAAGACGAGAGAGCCCATCTCCATCCGAAAGGGCTACTGCATCGAGCCACGAGCAATGTTTCGACCCAATCAGTGAGCTCGAAGACGTGTCTAATTTTGGATCACAGAGGCCGACCATGGGATGGGTGAGCAGCGACTGGCTGGCGCGCGCGAATTCAAGAGGCGGGAGGTGGGAGCCATCCTCACTGGAGATGCGGACTGTCGAGTCACCGGCCAATGACGATGCTGGATATCAACCCGGCGCTTAGATGCGACGGGGATTGGAGGCAGGCCACTCGGCCAACCGCGAGCCATAAATCGAAGGGCCTCTAAGCTGGCCTTGCGGAGAACAAACTATTGACTGGCGCATGGATTTAGTTGAGACTGGGTATGCAAGAATTTGATGAACTTTCGGTCCTGACTTCTGTATTCGATTTTCGCGTCGGCAGCAGCATACACATCTTTTCAATGTAAATGCTGCGTGGTACATTCGCCATAGCGTGCTCAGCTACGATGTTGGCCTGGTGGTATGAGGAATCAAAAGACGGCGGCCTAGGATCGTGCGGCAACGACTGAGAAGCTGGATGGGAGCCGATGCTCGACGCAACCGAGGGCATTAGGCAAGCGTAGAGGTTGACTTTGGCGGTTGGGATGGTTACCCCACTCAGCGTGGTCTATGGCTGGAGTTCAAGCCACGTCACTTAGGTAATCAGCGCAAGGTGGTCTGCTCTGGCAGTTCATGCATGCCCCGCCATCGATCAACCCCGCAGTCGGCCGTCCTTGGAAGAGACTTGAGAGGCACGCGTCTACTTCCGTCCTCGACCCCGTGCTTCACTTCGCGAGCGCTTTCTTTCTCTACATCTCCGTTTCCTGCTCTGCTTCGGCCCTTTCTTGCGTTATGGCCGACAATGACAAGTCAGAGACCTCAGGCGAGCCTCAAGGTCGCCACGTAATCTACTGCGGCGGTAAGCAACAGGCGCATTGTAATGTCACTCGAGGCGCGAATTCTGACCTGCTTTACCCCACGTCTAGTTTGCACTCTCCCCCCCGAGGTACGCTTCAGAACGATGGCAACCCTTAGGGCGTCCGACGTACTCATCCCAATTGACCAATATAGTACTGCGAATATGGAGGCACCGTGAAGAAGTGCCAGGAGTGGCTCCAAAAGAACCAACCCGAGCTGTATCAGAGAATCTGGTCTGCAGGTACAGATACTACACCACCAGTCTAGCGACATAATACGATACTTACGACGAATTATAACAGAGGCCCTCGAGGCAGCAACAGCATCCCTATCTGTAGACGCCCAGAAGCGAGCTGCTAAAGACGCCCAAAAGAAAACTGCCAAGGCCGAGGCCGCCGAGGCGAAGCAAGCCGATAAGCTCGCCAAGAGTACGGTCACGATCAAGAGAATTGAACGCAACAAGAGAAAGTTCGTCACGTCCGTGTCTGGCTTGGAACATTTTGGACTAGAGAACAAAAAGGTCGCCAAGGAGTTTGGGAAGAAGTTTGCTACCGGCTCTTCCGTAACCAAAACTCCGAGCGGTGGTGAGGAGATTGTCGTGCAGGGCGACGTCAGCGACGAGATTGAGGAGTTTCTGCTGGAGAAGTACAAGGAGATACCCGAGGACAACATTGAACTGGTGGAGGATAAGAAGAAGAAGTCGAGCTCGTAATGCGTCGTACCATCGGAGAGCGTACAATGTCAATTGACTATGCCTGAGTGTCATTTCTCACAGTCGTTATTCCCACGCAACCCCCTCAAGCCCAACGCCCTTTGTTCCTGCCAGGTACGCCATGAAGACATCTTCAACGCCAAAGTAAAACAAAAAAGGTACCCGACGAACCATCATCTAGGGGGTCGACATCTATGCTCTCTTCCGCAACACCCTGGTTGACCCTGCTGTGGACGCTGGTGCCGACTTTGGGGCTGCTGGCTTTCTGGTCGTCGCGGCGCCAACACCCTTCCTGATTGCACCCATGACCGTCCGTTTCGTAGTGGTGGGCGCCGCAGCCGCCGTCTTTTTGACAACAGTTCCCGTGCTACCCTCGCTGGAGTCGCTCAATCGCTTGCCTGTCCGCGTCGCCGGTCGAGAAGGTGCTTTGGCCGCTGTTGTCGTGTTGGCCCGCTTGGTTCGTGTAGTCGCAGGAGCTGACGCGTTTACAGGGGCCGATGCGTTTGAGCTATTCGTAGAGGATGCCAACGCACGCTGTGCGGCTGGGCGGCTGGTCTTTTTTGCCTTTTCTACCATGTTAGACAGTGCTGAACGAGCACTATTGTGCTGCTTGACTGGAGATGACGGCGGTCGGCCAACATGAGATTTCGATGGAGACGATAGAGGTCGGTCACGGATCAGGGATCGAGTATTGGACGATGTTGGCGACAGAATCTGAGATGAGCTCAAAGCAGTCGCGGCAGGGCCTGCCCGGTGCTTCTTTTTGGGGTTTACGATCCGCTCATTCTCCTTATCTCCGCCTGTCATGGCATCGCTGTTTTCATGGTTTAGCGCACATCAATCAGCACAGCCGAAGAATGAAAAACCAACCTCAATCGCTTTGTGGATCGCGCTGGAAGTGCGAGCTTCTGGGGACTTGACCGTGGAGGGAAGTCCTTCTCAGGCACTGGAGGTGGGCGCGAAGATGCTTCAAGACGCTTTTGCTGTTCGGCGGCTCTAGCTACCAAGTCGGCCATGGTCATCTTCAGCATTGATCGGGGTACGCGATTGACACGCATCTGAATGCGTGATCGCAGAGTCTGGGCCTGCTGGTTGTACTGTGCGCGTAGTCTTCTGGCGCGATCCGTGACTGTTTATGCCGTTAAACACGCGCTTATTGACTTGTCATTGGAGTCTTGAACATACTTTCCAGTTGCAAGTTGTCAATAATCGCCTGCTTCTGTTCCAGCGTGATTCCAAGCCTCTGCCTCTTGCTTGGACTGCTGCTCAACATAGGGGGGGTGCCCGTTTTGGTAGGTATCGTCTGTTTTTGCATTGTAGTAGACTGATCAATATCGTCTGAGGATCTCTTCTTTGATCGTGCGGGAGGCATAATGCTAGTATTTGCGCGAGAAGGTTTTGCGCGATGGTCGTAGGCGATGAGATAACAGCCCGGTCGCGACGAAAGCGTGGAGGATGCTGAGCTAAAGATGACGGGGGCGGAAGCCGTGTTGTGAGTGGCTAGCGCTCCGGGAAGTAAACAAACCCAACAGACAGCGTCTTACATAATCGTACCCGGACGGGACTCCCTTAGTGGTGCCGGGATATTCTGGCCTGTTTTGGTGATTGTCACCCTGTGTAGATCCCACCTTCGATGCTTGCCGACAGCGACGAACAACTTTGAGAAGTAGTTAGGTGATGTATGAAGGGCTCATTTGTCTATAGCATAAACGAAGGCTTACACTATGTATTTGGGATTTCAATGTGCGAGTGTTGGCGAGAGTTTGAGGGGTGATCAGCGGTATTGATGGGAAAGCCCCTGTAGAAGAGGACTTTCGCACATGAGGGTGAACGGGGTTTTGACAGCACTAACGACCAATCTGGGTGCTTGGTGTCTAGGTCGGTAGTGTTGCTATGTTTCGAGCCAGGTACTTGTAAGAAAGGCAAGCCAGCTGCACCTTCCAGGTACCCAGTACATGGACGCAACCAGTATCGCCAGGCTGAACTGCCTTACGCAGGAGCTCTCCCACCCGCCCACCTTACACCAAGCTCGCCCTCAGCCATCCGAAGCTACACCATTCATCAACACATTCACCACAACACTTTTTCACAAGTTTTCCCACCGTCTCGAATCTGTCGGTCGCCACGACTTGATCCTTCAAATCCCTCCGTACACCATCTTCATTTGATAGCTTGCTCTTCGCACCACCGTCAAGATGGTTCTGGAAGCGGTGATGGTCGTCGTTGACAACAGCGAAAGCAGTCGCAACGGGGACTACCAGCCCACAAGATTCGATTCCCAAGCCGACGCCGTCAATGTAATTTTTCAGACAATCACCAACGGCAACCCCGAATCCTCTGTCGGCCTCATGAGCATGGGGGGCAAGGGACCCGAGGTGTTGGTCACTCTCACGACAGACCAGGGCAAGATCCTCGACGGCTTGCACCGCACCAAGACCAAGATCAAGGGCTCATCA